CTTCACTTAGGGCGGGCACTAGGCTTGCTGGGGCCTTAGCCCAGAACATGTACATCATGGCAAGGCCCCTACTTGAGGGCTCAATCCTCACATGTGAATGAATCTGATTAGAAATATATATCATTGACGAGATGACCGTTCTCAGTTTGCCTTAGTCAGCCTTTCTTTTTCCTTTTTTTTTTCGTAGGTTTGGTTAGCTCTCTTCATTCACAGGGTGCTCCTTTTCGCCCGATGCGGCTTTTGAATTGCAGGCCTGGCTTTTGTTGCCCATTGAAGGCTGTGTTGAAAACGACCCTGTTTTGCACGAACTGCCATGCGTTCTACGGAAAGTAACTGCAGACGTCGTTTTTTCCGTCTTCTTTTTTCTTAATTAAAAGAACTAAGCTATATTCTTCTCTCGGGTATCCCATACACAACCCACCCACATCTACCTAGCCTGGGCTCCATTTACCAAGCAGGGGCTACCTTCTTCACCCGAATAGAACGCCTGGTCATTATAGCTGTATTTGGGCCAACTTCCAGTCTAAATACGGCGATAATGACCGGGCGTTCTATTCGGGTGAAGCCAGAGCTACGTCTACCTAGCAGGGGCAACCAAGGTCTACCGCCCAAATGAGTCGCAGGCTCCTGTGTATGGAAGTCTGAGAGAGAATTCACTTGCAGGGTACTTGTGGTACAAATCAATGACCTTGTTCCGACGTGACCAAGATGGAAGCTCTTAGGAGCCGCTGTGTCTGCCTTTTACATGGTCTTTTGACTCTTTTCCTTTTTAATTTTTTTTTTTCAATATGAAACATCAGAAAGAGTGATGAGGTAGTTGAATCTGAACCTGAGTAAGAATGTATTCATGTTCGATGGGTTTTGATAAGTTGTTTTGTCTGATATGTGCGGGCTTGGTGAAAGAGCAGTTGGGTGGACAAGAAGGATCGATGGATGTGTGCGGAGCTTGTGCTGAACTACAAAAGATCTGCAAAATGGCTATTTCAGTGCTTGTGGGGGGGTAAACTAACCTTGGGGGGGGTGTTGAAAGTTGGGGTCCCTGTTAACCATTTTTGTTGTGTTGTGTTTTTGTCGGTGCAGGTGCGATCTGCCACGCTGGACACATGGCTGCCAGAGCAAGTGGAATTCATAAAGAGTGAGTGCTTGGTCATGTATATCATTGCCTGGCGATAAGCAACCCAGCACATCTGGCTTCCAGTCTCCCTATACGCCTGATCTGCTTGAGTTGTTTCCTTGTGGTTTTCCCTCATCTGGTCTGGTTTGTACTTGGCCTCGCCATCGGGTGCACTGTAACCTGTGGTGGGCAAGCACACGTGTGTGTGGGCAGTTTGTATCTGACTCTGTGAGAATGTGTGGTGAAGCAGTTTGGAAATGCCACACCACAGTCATGACCAATGATAACATGTCATGATAACATGTTGAACCATCACAGCTCGCCCGAAGCTAAGTCAGCCTCTTACCAGGAAGCGCAGTAAACCGTATACTGCTTCAACTGGCTGAGCCCAGGGGGGTACCGTGGGGCTGTGCAAAATTCCGAGTGCCTTTTCTAATTACTGGCGTCCAAAAAATTTCAAAAAGTGAGGGATGTGGCATCAGGGAAAAGAAAAGGAAAAAGAAATGGTTTGACTCGTTGGAAAACATTCGTGCCAAAACGGAACACATATTTCAATCAATGTTGGTGTGAACCCGTAGGAGTGACGTTGCAGGCCAGGCAGGCCTGAGCGGTCGGTTTGTATGTTCAGGCTCGGTGTGAACTGGTGGCTTAAACAACGCAAACTTAAAACCGCATATCTCAGCAGCTTAAAATGTAGTGCTGCATCTTGGGCCAGATTTGTTCAAAGTCTAAATACTCTGGGGGGAGGGGGCTTACCCAACCTGTTGCACCCTGCAACAAAACCTGCATCCCTGTTCTGTTTTTTTCTTTTTTCTTTTTTATGGTGTATGGAGGAAACCAGGCTTTGCCAATGTGGTCAGCTGTCTAGCTCAGTTAGTGATGCACATTCAGGAAGGAGGTCATGGGTTCATTTATCATTGACCTCGTGTACCTTCCTGGGCACACTTACGCTGACTGCCTAGAGTTGCCCATTTGCCGCCGCCAAGTGTCATTGTCGATGTTCGTAGGGGAGGTGCAACGGCTGGCAAATTGCACTTGGCACTACCCTCTTCACCCGAATAGAACACCCGGTCGTTATCGCTGCATCTGGACCAACATTTGTGCCATATACAGCTATAATGACCAGGCGTTCTATTTGGGTGAAGACGGTAGCGCTATCGGCTTGTCACTAGCTGGTTGTCACCCATCTATTCCCCTTTGGGGTGGTGCAGTTTGACTCTCCCAATAGGCTGGAGAAGATACAGCAGCTGCCGGGGTTTCCCTGAAGGGTGTGAAGGCCACCCTGACTTGGGTCCCAGCATCACAGATTAAGGTGGGGTGGGGATGAGAAGATCTCAACTGCGCTTGCATTTGCGTTCTACAGAGCGGTGTGAAGATTGTGGATGGAATTTGTTTGAGACTGTTTGGGGTAACAACGTTGAGGGAATAGATGATGTTCTGCAGTGGTGGGTAAGTTTGGGGTGTGCTGTGTGCCCGGCGGGCTAATCCACCAGCATATCTGGAGAATTCAAATGAGCCTCTCCGAAAAAGTTAGGGGATTCGGGACAGGGCCCTCCTGGGGGTGGGCAGGCGGAAGCTCTTTTTGGGTTCAGGACTGGGCCTAGTGCCACTCCATGGCATTGGGCAATTTTTTCCACTGGCTTTTCTGATGCACTGTCCCCATCCTCCCAAAATTTAGGAGACGCTCGATCGGATTGTCAACGTGGCTGGGGCCATGTACTGGTGGTGGGTACCATGATTAGAGGGGATGATGTGCAGCGTGCTGTAAGGGTTATGAGTAGGCTGGATGCAGTGCTTGCACATACCAGGGCGTTAGGAAATCATCATCAGATAGCCGTATGATGCAGGGTAGCAAACGCTTGTTGGATGCGCTCTGACCCTGTGGCTGATCTGTACTGCCAGGCTGTGCCACAATACGGGCGCTCGGGTCCGGGAGGGTTCCCTGGCGGGCCCCCAGTCAGGCCAAGGGTGGGCCCAGCACATTTTTGCACGGAGCGGATCAGCCTGGTAGTGGTCAAATCAGGCCTTCAGCATCCCGGGCAAGGCCTGGAAAAATTTCCTACGCCTGGCAGATCATAGTAGGCTCTCATGTGGTGGCCCAATCTGGGCCGCTAGTCTTTTGAGATCAACTGGCCAGAGTGGGCAGTGGTTCTTCTTTGGCAACATCCGAATTTGAATAGTGCACACAACTGCCCACCGCCGCCACTCGTGGATGCATTTCATCCTGTACACCAGCAGCCCGCCCAACCGACGTTGGCCATTGACTGCTGCACCTCTATTCACAAAGTGCTCCCCCAACCCCCTCTCCGGCGACAAAGCTCGACATGCCACTGCCCCCCAGATGGTGTGTGTGTGTGTGTGAGAGAGAGAGAGAGAGAGAGAGAGAGAGAGAGAGAGAGAGAGAGAGAGAGAGAGAGAGAGCGCTGCCTGCGTCCTTGCTTGGCCTTCCACCTCCTCCTTCCCTCTTCTCCCACCGCATGCCACATGGCAGTGTGGCATGCCGTTCTAAATGGAGAATTAACACCCCAGTGTAGGAATTGTGATGATGTTAGCGGTTTCGAATAGAAAGCGGAACATCGTTAGGAGTGAAAGTATTTTAGACTGCCAGTGCATGCCCCCAGCCTTGCAGGATTTCTTTTCATTGTATGCAAAAACTTTGGAGGCTCAGGGCTACTGGACCACAGTGGCTGGCGGCGCCAGCCAGAAAAGAAAAAAAAGTGTGCTGCTGGCAGTTTGACAAAGCTCGGCATGCAGTGCAGCGCCGCCAGGCCTGGGTGTACTGGTGGTTTAAGGTCTCTAATTACTCTGATTTGATATGTATCTTGAGAAGATGTGACTTCAGAAGCCTACATGGCAGTTTTGACAGAAAAGCTCTTTACAAGAGGGTGCCTGGGAGGAGGTCCTGGATTGCCGGGGCAGTATAGCTGAGATGTGGAACTTGGATGGCCTGTGAATTGCTTTCTGTTACTGTTTTGGGTTTCGTTTATCTCTTTTGTGCTCCTTCCCTCCCCCTCTCCCCCTCTGCCCCCAAGCCCACACACGCATACACACACACACACACCCTTTTTCGTGACATGGATGGTTTGTGATGATTTGTGGTTGGAACGAGGAGAGAATTTGGGGATCTGTAAAACACACACACACACACACACACACACACACACACACACACACACACACACACATCACCTCGGCTCCTCTCCTGGAGGGAGCAGATGAAAGAACTGGCAATAGGCATCTCCGGAACTTACTGAAGATTCATTTTACTCTAATTGAGTCATGGGGCAGTTTGGAACGAGCCTTCCTGATTAACGTCAGGTCTGCATCTTCGGGAAGTTGAATAGCAACCTTTTCTTGGTTTGCAGTAGGTCGTCGTCTTTTTTCTTTTTTTTGTTTTTTTTTGGTAGGTCTATGGTGCGAGAGGCGGTAATACCCCTGCGGGAGGGAAGCACAAGACTTTACTTATGGGAGATGGTGCTATGCCGTATCCCTGGAGGTCTCTTTCCTAGTATTTTGCAAAGGTGGTGTGTGGTCATGATTCTGTTTTAAACAGAGGCTGACTTGGACGTCTTCTTCGAGGGTGTCTTTTTCCCTCCTACAATGTGCATGTGATTGCTATGAAGATGTCAGTGTGATTGATTAGGCATTAAGTTTCCCTTGTGCAAATAGCGGACCAGACTTCTGACAGGTGAATTCCATTTCCTCTTCTTCTGCCTCAGATATGGGTAATGTGAAGGCAAATGAGTATTGGGAAGCCGCCATACCTCCTGGTTTCAGGAGACCTTCAGAGAATGACCGGCAGGCATTGGAGACCTTCATTCGGCAAAAGTAAGTGTTCGACAAATTTGAGAATTGTCCTCTTTTTTTTTTGTCTTTTTTTTCCGTCTTCCGTTCTTTCCTCTTCCTCTCGTCTGCAGAACTGTGGAACTCTTGTTGTAATGATGAGGACAAGTATTGATGTATATGGGGCTTGGTGCTGTGGGCAGTCGGTGGCATCGGAGTAGATGCCCTTTCGGCTCTTCAAACTGTTGCGAAAATGAAAATGTCTCTCGTTGAATAGTCGTGACGCGAAAAGCGGACTGGCCTGAGCCTCTGATTGGATGCTTCACGACTCCTCCGCGGCGGGATCAGATGCATGACTGGCAGTTTTGGAAGTGGGAAACAAGGTGAATGGCTAATATGGGGCCATCGTATTTCTGTGAATGGGAAAGAAATCTGCTTTGGAGTACACAATAACTTGTGCTCGACGGTGGCTACGGGGCTGTTGTAATGACACACTTGGAATGCTTTGTTCTCGATCAACTAACCGCAAGTGTACACGTGCGATCAGCTGTGTTAACCCCATACATCCATCCGGCCTGTGTTTCAAGTAAAAACTCTAGGTCTGTGAAGGGCCCACTTTTTTTCCTTTTTTCTTTTTTCAAGGGCCCACTTTTAACATGAAGATTCGCACGATGATATCGCTGACTGGAAAACGGATGACAATGACGTTAATAGATTTCTTCTTTTCATTGAAAGAAAGCAGAAAGAACTTGCCGAGACCTGGCCTGACAGGCTTATGGTGCGAAGTGGAGATCTCTGTGGGATGAAAGAACATTATGTGTGCACCGGAAGGCTGACCCAAGGGCAGGCATCCCCTTAGTGGAAACTTTCAGTTTTGAAGAAGAATCTGTAATGTCCAGGTGAAATCTGCTTATGGGTAATAACTGCCATGGAAGAGTCACACTGTGCCGGCCTTGTGTCTACATGTGCCCGGATTTGTTGGATGGTATGTTCACTTTGCCTCCAAGGATGCGACAGTGGCTGCATGCACGCCTGTTATGCGCTCGTTGTTTTGTCCTGGCTCGCCGCCAGGGATGCGACAGTGGCTTCATGCACATTTGTTATGCGCTTGTTCGTTTGTCCTGGCTCGCTGTTATGGAGCAAACCGTGGCCACTGTAGGGTGAAACAACATTATTTATGCACCAGAAGGCCCACCCAAAGCCAGACGTGGTGCCTCACTCCACTACTCTCGACATGTGCAAAACGAGAGTAATCTTCCACTAGAACATGGAAATGTATGAGAGTGACTCTTTGACTAGACCATGGAAAGATACACCTCCATGATTTTTGTCTTTTGTGCATGTCGACAGTAGTGGAGCGAGGCCCATTGTGCCCCACACTCAGTGGAACATTTCAGTTTTGAAGAAGAATCTGTTATGTTAGGGGGAAATGCCTCTGTAGCTGCTTATGGGTAATAACTGCCATGGAAGAGTCACACTGTGCCGGCCTTGTGTGTGCATGCGCCTGGATGTGTTGGGTGGTATGTTCAGTTTGTGGCCAAGGATGCTGCAGTGACTGCGTGATCACCTGTTATAAACTTGTTCTTCTGTCCTGCCCTGCAAACCAACATGGTATTGGTATTTATTACCAAAAAAAAAAAAAAACAGTGGCTGTTGTCAGGCATTGTTAGTGTCAGGCTGTGTCAGCTGTTGCAGTGGCCGTGGTGTCCAAAATCTCTCGTTTTTTTTTGTTCTCCTTTATCCACTTCGTCTTTATTGCACCTTCCCTGGTGCCTCCTCTCTCCCATGGCCCGCAAGGGTCTTTCTGACAAACCCTTGACTCATCCGCGTGCACACCTTCATTGATCGTAATCTACTATACTCCACAAGCTTTCAAGGTGCTTTAGGGCCTTGCCGCACCACTCGCCAAATGTGAAAAAAACAAAATTAAGTTGGTTGTATCTGTCCTTTGGGACGTCCTTAAAAATTGCAACGACACAGAGAAGATTAGCATGGCCCGTGCGCAAGGATGACATGCATAAATCGAGAAATGGTCCAAATTAAATAAAAGAAAAAAAAAAGCTGGTTGTATCTTTCCACGTTCTAGCAGAAGAAAGATACACTGGGCCTCACTCCGCTACTCCTGATTGAGACCACTTTCGAGACTGGAGTGTCACTCCACTTACTGTCCCTTCCTCCACTCTCGAAAATGGATAGAGAGTTGCCAGCGAGGGCCCTACTAGAGCACTCTCGTCGTTTCGAGAGTGTGCCGCCCGCCTGCAGCACTCTCGAAATCGAGAATCCTCTCAGGGACCCTCGTCTTGGGGCGTGAAATCGAGAGAGTTTGTTTCTCGATTTCGTTTTTTGTTTTTTTTGGCGTTTTGTATCGAGAAAAAGGGAAAACAAGAAGAAAAAGAATGGGAAGAATTTTGAGAGAGTGAGGCTATTCGAGAGTACGTGCGAGTGAGGCCTTGATTTCGGTTGAAATCGAGAGTCTGACAACTCTCAATTCACTCTCGATTCTTGAGATGATTCGAGAGTAGTGGAGTGTGGCCTATCGTCATTTTTTTGCACATTCTCTGCGTGGTGTGGTGAGGCCCCCAATAGCAGATGGATAACTGGATTTAATTCGAAGGATGGGATATCTTATTAGAACTTGCTTATACTAAATATACCATGTGGTAATTTGGCTTTTTGGTTTGGAAGTCTCTGTATTTTTGACGTCCTATCTAGGCTACCAGCGGGGCTACCCGGGTCATTCTATTTTCCCGGGCGGTCTGGTGTAAGGACTAGGGAAGGTCCCAGCCAGGGTTACCTGACCGAACGTTCGGGGGCCCCCGGGCTGGCCCCCGAACGTTCGGGCGTTCGGGGTCCCGTTCGGGGGCCGAACACCTCCAGGTTCGGCCCCCGCCAAATTTTTTTCGGGGCCTAAAATAAGTTTTTTTTTCTGATTTTTTTTTTTTTGTGAGTTCTCTATGATGTAACCTACACGCCTATAAATTTTGAAGCCATTCTGCTAAGCCAAAAAAACATTAAAAATCGTCAAAGATGGGGGTGTCAAAACGTGCTCGCCCACTCACCATTTTGTTTTTTTTCACTTTTAACTTTTTGTTTTCACTTTATTTCGGGGCCTAAAAAAAATTATTAGTTTTTGAAAAATTTGTAACGAGTTATTGATTATGTAAACTACATATCTATTAATTTTCAGGGCATTTGTCAGTGCCAAAAAATAATTAAAAATCGGCAAAGATGGCGGTGTCGAAAAGGTGCTGGCACACTCACTCATTTTAATTCTCTTTTTATTTTTTCTTATTTTTATCATAGTGTTTATTTTCTGTATTTGATTTTTTATTCAAATTTGGTAAAGAGTTTGGATGTAGTGCCCAGGCAAATGTTGTTTAGTTTATTTTTCTCCACATCATAATTTTTTTTCGGAATTTTTCGAATTTATTTATTTATTTATTTATTTATTTTTTTTATTTATTTTTTATTTTTTTTGTTTTTTGGTCCGCGTTCGTCCCGAACGGCCGAACGCCTTCCGAAAGGGTCCCGTACGTTCGGGCGTTCGGGTTCGGGCGTTTGGCCCGTCCCGAACGCCGGCAACCCTGGTCCCAGAAAAAAAAAAAAAAAAAAAAAAAACCCGAAAAAAATTGTTTTACGCAGAGAAATAAACTGAATAACTTCTGCCTCAGGGTCAAACCGAAATTTTCTTTACGAAATTTAAAAATAAAATTTTAAATGAAAAAATACTTATTTTTTGTTTTTTTATTTTTTTTTGGCCCGGCCGGGCAAGTGGACCCTGGCCACTCTGGTAGCGTAGCGTCTTATTATTCTTTTCGTTTACTTTCTCACTTTTCTTGCTCCAACCAATGCTTTTAAGCGGGACCTCGAAAGACGTCATGATGCTCCTACTCTGATAGCGATCCCTTTAATACTTTTGGCTTGACTCAATTTATTATTATGGAGAATTATTGTATCAAGATTTGAATATTCGAGAATACTTCGGTTCAATTCAACCTCCGATGGGTGCGCAAGTGTTTGGTTTTCGTGCTGGTCGATGTGTTGTCAACCATTTTCCTAAAAGAACTCTTATTCATCTGTTTTTTCTCAAGCTCACACCCTTGGCCTGGGCCAGCTTGAGATGGTGTGGCGCCCTGCAATCGAGATCTGCGAGCTGGGCGCACTCAATCGTTCCTTGCATCATAGGAGTGGCTGCATCTTGAAATCCGTATCTGCAGCGTCCATATAAGCAATCTGAAATAACCATTCGGTTTTTCATTTTGTATTGTATGTTCTCGTTTTGTTGATGGGCCCGTAAGAGGTCGCGGGCTGCTTCAGAACTAGAGTACAGAGGCAAGCAACAAAGCGCTTGTACACCGTCTCTAATCTAATTAAATTCTATTAGAATTAGAATAGAATGTAGGTCGACCGTATATTTGAACACATAACAGCTCCCTAGGTTGGGTTCGAACCAACGACCGAATAGGTAGGGTAAGTGGTGTGTGTAATCTGACTAAGCTTTCCTCCGAAGGGCAGCTACGTTCTTCAATCTCAATAATACGTACCCCATAAACAAGCCTAGAATCCTAAGCTCCTAGACGATTGCCGTGAAAGGTGCAGTGTGCTCTGTTTTTTTTTTTGTCTTCTTTTTCTGAATCACACATGAACGGGCCTCAGTGGAACCTTGATGCAGGATTTTCTGAGTTTGTCGCGGTGTGTTGTGTTTGCTGGCTGTATGTGGTCTTATATGCATTGGTTGTTCTAACTCCTGGCATAAGCGTTGTGTTGTCTGGTCTGAGTTGGTGTGATGAGATGGTGGGCATCACTCTGTGTCAGGATGTGAATGTTTTGCTGTCGAATTCACTGTTTCCGAACCCCCCTGATTTTGAAATGAGATGGTATTGATGTGCCCTTCGATTGTCATGCTCGTCTTGTTCTGGTTTTCATGCGCAGGTATGAGATAAAGCGCTTCATTCCCAGAAGCCGCAGCCCTCCCAGTGATGAACGTCGTGGGGCTGGCACTCGGCGAGGGTCAGCTGAGAGAGATAGGGATGGGGGCTCAAGGCGTCCATCAGTGGATAGGGATAGGGATGTGGACCCGAGGGATAGAGATCATGATCGCTTTAGGGAATGGGATCGTGACAGTGAATATGACAGAAGCTGGAATCCTAGATCTGGAGATTATGGGCGGGATGTGCGGGAGCGTGACCGGGATTATGACCGGAGAGACCCGCATGATAGGGCTGCAGAGCACGGGCGGGATGTGCGAGAGCGGGACCTCGATCGGGCAGGGAGGGGCTCTCGAGAAAGAAGGTACAGCAATGGGGAAGGGTTGCCTGGCAGAGGAGGTTATCAGGGCGATGACTACGAACGAAGAAGATCGCAGCCAGAGGGAGACAGGTCCCCACTTGGGGGCAGGTCCCCACTTGGGGGCAGGTCTCCCCTTGGGGGGAGATCGCCTATTGGGGGAAGATCCCCTGTTCGCGGGCAGTCCCCCACACATAGAGATGAGGTGGCGGATGGCCCTTCAGGAAGAGGGGGTGGCACCCCAGTGCCAAGGATGCCTGCTCCTCCAGGTGCGCCCAATGCTGTAAATATGGTTAGAGCAGTACAAGCACCCTCTGTTGGGCCCCCACCTGCATCAAAGCCCTCCGCTACGCAGTTGGCTGGGTTTGTTGACTTCTTGACACTGGACGAGGATCCGCGGAATGGTGGTTCTCAGGTGCAGAGTGATGCCAATGCCCGACCGGCGCTCGACAATGTGGACTCTTGGGCTAGTTTCACATCTGAATTAAGCACAGCTTCAACTGGTGCCGATGGATCTGGGGGGCTGCTTTCCCCGCAGGCTATTTCTGCAGCTCCAGGAAGCAGGCCCTTGAGTGCGGCGACTGACGCTCCGCAGATAGCCGATGGAGGGTTTGCTGGATTTCATCCAAGAGGCAGTTCAAGCGTTGCAGCAGACTTGGAAGAACTGTTTGCGACTACCCCCAGTGCTCCGGGCAATGCCACGCAGGGGGACTCCACAGGCGCCAGCGCTGTCAAACCAACACAGAGTGGAACTACGGAAGCTGCACCTCCGAGACCTGCGGGGGACGTGAAGAAGAACATTTTGGATTTATTTGACACTGTGAGTTCCTGGTTTTCAAAGTTTTTAAATCTCTTCTGCTGTTTAGGGCATGAGCGCATGGGTGAACTGAGGGAACCATTCCTTAATCAGTAACTAGCGGTGATGAGAAGACAGAAAGGAAGCAGGGTGGGGAAAGAGGGGGTCTTCATTCGGCGAAACGGAGGAGAAGAACTGCAGAATGTGAACAGGGTAGGGCATCTGCTTTCGCGAGGGATGGGGGCATGTTTCGGGGTGAAAGGGTGGGTGGAGGGAAGTAGAGGCTAAGGGCTGAAATGTGGGGAACAAAGCCTCCTCTGGGCAGGGCTTACTCGTAGAGGGGATGCCGGATTGGATGGAGTGGAACTGCACTGGTGCGTTGTGGGATTGACACGTGTCAGGATGTTTATTGTTCAACAGAAAGAAATTTAAAGAACATGATGAGTAACGGACAAGCAACAACGCTTCTCTCTTGCCTGGACGATTGATGTGCACCGCTAGGGCTAGCCATGTTGTGTATGTTATGCAATGTTTTCTCTGTGAATAGGTGGAAGCCGACTCGTGGCTGCTTCTGGCATCATGCAATAGCTGGGCTGCGGTGACAAAGCATGCGTCTTATCGTGTTTTACACATGGCCGCAACATTTACCGAACAATTTGACCCCTTGCATTGCTGTATATTGTGTGTTCGAACGTTGTGCTTTCCAGTGGAAGAGATACTCTGCGTGTGCAGTAGCTGGGCTATGGTGTCTGGTGAAGGATACCGACAGCCGTGTTTTATGCATGGCTGTGCCGTGGCAGCGGTTGGTCTATTTTCTCTGTGGTGCCTACAGTTTGGGATAGCTGCCCCAGGTTGCATCATGGTGAAGCATGTGCACAGCCATGTTTTGTACATCGCAATGACAATGCGCATACTAATTGAACTGCTTGAATTCCTGTCTCTTGTGCTCGATATCCCTTCATATGCCAGGACGGCTGGGCACATCTCCGCCTTCAGCAATGGAATTGGATGTGGAGTGACCAGAACAATACCTCCTGGTCTCCCTTCTCCGCTCACCAGAATCGGGAAGGAGACAGGACCGTTAGCACCTGTTTTTTTCTTTTTTCCTCTTCTTCAAGATTTACCGATGCTCTAACCAACTGAGCTACGGGAGCACCTGCTCCTCCTTTAACGGTACGCAGTGTACCCACATCTATTGCCTTAAATAGATAATAATGTAATGTCTGTCAAGCGACTGTGGTGGGCTTCTCGAGTCTGAGCTTCTTGACTGTGTCGGGACTACATCAGACAGATCGGTTGCAGCTCCTTACACTTGCTTGATACCACACCACGTGCCTTTTAAAGCATGTGCCGCATAGTTAGGGCTCCCGTGGATAGATGATGTGGTGGTTGGCTGTCCGTAAGTTGTGGACATGATGTGCTTCTAGGTGGCAAAATATAAAGCGCTAATGCTCGGTCCTTTGAGGCGATATGAAGTTTGGATCTAGGCGGTGCAAGGCAGGTGCAAGGCAAGTGTACTTAAACCTACCCAGAGTCGTTTGGTTTCGTTGTTCGTTTATTTTTAATCTACGAAGAATGTAATGAGACTGTTGTAGGTGACTTGTGCATCTGCGGGGGCCTGTGGGAGGATGTGCAGTAGCCGATTGTTTTACCACGAGCCCAGCTCCCTCTCACAGCTATGCGGTTGGGTGTGTATGTACTGTAGTCTCTCCGTGGGAAAGCAACACATTCCTGTTTATCCCTTCGACTTAGTTTTTGTTTGCGTTTTGCTGTGGGAAAGCTGCCTGCGGTGCCAGTAATATCAGGATTTGATGCGATTGTATATTGTCTATTGCAGGACTTCTCTGGGGAGCTATATGTGCACGAGTAGATTTTCATACTTCATACTTCATTACATACTCTTCCTCTTCTTTCATTTGCTTAGTTACTCGTGCACGAGTAGATTTTCATACTTCATTACGTTGCCCTAATGCATATGGAGGCTATTGGTTTAAAGTTTAAAACTTCAAACGTTTTCTTTATAATAATTTCGATCAGTTCTTCTTTGGCCATTACTCTTGTGCCTCCTATATAATGCCATGCATTGTGCATGCATGACGATACCTGTTAGGCACGAGTAAAACACCTGCTTTATTGCGGTGTGAGGTGTATTCTGCCACCTGTTCTGTATTGTTTTTTGACGAGTCCTCTTGGCCTTTTTTTCCGTGTGCGGTGGGCTGAGGTATCATTTTTCCAAAAGCCGGCAAGTAGCCCTATGGAACTGATAGGGCACCATCAATTCTACCAGGGTCGTATCGTCTAGCAGACAAAAGGTAAGGGTCGTATCGTCTAGCAGACAAAAGGTTGCATTTCTGGGAGGTTGCGTTATTGTGTAGACGCCTACAATTGTAAGGACATCTGGTCTTCAGCAGTGCCTTTTATGTGCGGTGTCTATTTGTTGGTGGGGACATGTAAGGTGGTTGGCATGCGGGTGTGCTATCTCATTCGTGGAAGCCTCTCGGAGGATACCTTGTCTGGAGTAGTGCCTTTGGTGTGTGCTCTCGGTTACTGACGATTTTGTGCATAAACGACCAGTACTTCGGATGCACTTTAGTTCGATCATGGGGATGCCCTGCGCACCAACCGGCATGGGCCGTTGATCAAATTCTTCAACGGCCGTGAAGGGCCCGGAATTTGCAGCGCATGTACAAGGGCCCGCGGCCGATACATGGGCCAAGTGCTGGTGATTAAAGACGTTGCGATGTGGGTGCGTTATCGTGTCAAAGCCTCCATAGACCCATCATCTCTCTGGAGTAGAAACGTCGCGAGCTAGTTGATGGCACAGAAGAACCTGGGACTCACCTCGATCAATCATCGAATTGATTAAGGCGGACGTACAAGGGCAGGTCCTTATCATCCTGGCTCCTTGGCCATTCGGGGGAGCATCAGTCCTGCCTGTATTCCCCTGGCGAGTCAAATTGGTACATCCAGAGCTTCATTCCGTTTGGCCAAAGGTTCCATGATTACTCCACAGAGTGGAGAATTGACTGTCAATCTTGGAGAGTAATCGTGGAACCCTTGAGCTCCTCTTTGTAGGGCTTACTTGCATGAGGCCCTGATGAGCACAGAATCACAGAATCAGAGGCCGGATCGAGTCCTGCTAAAGGCGGACTCAACCTGTCCGTTGATTTCGTGATTCTGCGATTTTTAAGTGCCTGGTTTGAGTATGCTCCCAATCTCGGTTGAACCGCAGACTGTCTGATGTACGTGCAAAACAAGATGCTTTGGGGATCGGTGGTGAGAGACGAAGTCAACCTTCAAACGGTCTTAGGGTAAGGCTTTGGGCTGGGTCACCGGACTTCTTAAGTGTGGCATGACTCGCAAGAAGAGCAAGTCCTCCGTGGCTTCTTGTCTGCAAGCAGGCTCTCAGTTGCATCGCGGGAATGAATAAATACATTTGAGTCTTATTGGAATTACAGTTTGAAACAAGTATGGTTACAGTTCTGCGCTGGTACTGTCGCCCGGGAACAGGTGCAGGACATACGGGGCTGTGGTCTATGTTTGGCGGTGAACCTGATGGAATGCCCTTTGCTAGGAACGGGGAGGGGAGTGTGGGGATCTCCAGGCAGGCGGTTCTGTCCTTTCCTTAGTGCGCACTAGAACCTTTTCATGGCCTCTCTACTGTTAGTTGGCAGGGAGTGGAATGCCTATTACCACAGAGAATGGTTGCAGATGGAAATGAGAGGGAGTACTGCTTGTATGCGTCTGGGGAGGTTTGGGTGTGGATCACAGGTGACGTATGGCAATGCCCTTGCAGGAGCTAGAGGGAGTGGCTTTCCCAGGAAAATGGTTGACTTCGGTAGAAACGATGTGGAGGATCACAAAGGACCTGATCGAGGCAGAGATCAGAATTCAACGAAGGAGGAGAATTGCCCTAATCCTGAGTAGACCTGATGAAGGAAGGCCAGTCAAATTGCAGTTCTGGCGGGATTTTTGGTTGATTGAATAGGCAAGATTGCTCAATCCAGGGGAGTCGCCTACATTTGAAAAGCTGGCATAACTTGGATTCAATCCAGAACCAAATTGGGGCTCGTCGAAACGAGGAAGACCCCATTTGGTCCCGAGTCTGAGATCTAGATCCAGACAGGCTAGAGTAAACAAGGAAGGTGCGCAGTTCTGGTGGAATTTTTGGTTGATCGAAGAGGCAAGATTGCTTCATTTTGAAAAGCTGACATAACTTGGATTCAAGCCAGAACCAAATTGGGGCGCATCGAAACGAGGAATACCCCATTTGGTTCCGAGTCCTAGATCTAGATCCAGACAGGCTAGAGTAAGCAAAGGAAGGTGTACAAATTCAGACAAATTCGCGCGAAAAATAGAAGGAAAACAGCGACAGAATAGGTCTTAACGAACCCGAGATGTCTCGAGGTCTAAGACTCTTGTATGGCAAAATCTAGGACAGAGGCCTTAGGCGCTTGTATGGCAAAATCTAGGACAACTCATGGCTGGGAAATTGCCCAGAAATGTCAAAGGCCAGGCTAGTTGTTGGTATGTGAAAGCGAAGGCGAAAGGTCTCAGCCTGC